AACGTAGGCGACCTGTGTCTTTTTGAATTAGTGTTTTGGTTCCTTTCAGATAAGTACCCAGAGGTAGGTTGGCTAGATCATATGGTAGTTGTATTTTGAATTTTTTTTGAATCTCCAGACTGTTTTGCACGTGGCTGCACCAGTTGGCGATCCTGCCAGCAGCGCACGAGACTTCCCCGTCCCCACATGGTCGCCAGCACTTGTTATTTCTTGCCTTTTTGAAAATAGCCGTTCTGACAGGTGTGAGGTGGTGTCTCATTGTGGCCTTGATTTATATTTATCTGACGATTAGTGATGTTGAGCATCGTTTCATATACTTGCTGTCCATTTGTATTTCTACTTTAGAAAAATGTCTGTTTAGATCTCTTGCCGACTTTTTAATGACTCCCTTTATGCTGTTGGGTTGTGTGAGTTCTTGTGCACTTTGGATATAAATCCCTTATCAGCTCTGTGACTCGTCAAAATCTCCTCCCAGTCGGTAGCTGCCTTTTCATCCCATTGGTTTCCTTTGCTGTGCAGGTTTTTAGCCTGATGCGGCCTCATTTGTTTATTTTCCCCTTTGCTGCCTTTGCTTTGGTGCCAGATTAGAAAATCCTCCGCCCAGACCTAGGTCAGGGAGCTCCCTGTCCGTTTCCTCCGAGAGATCCGTGGCCTCAGGCCTTACAGTCGAGCTTTTAACCCATTCTGAGTAAATTTGTGTGTGTGGTATAAAATAGCCGCCCGGTTTCATTCTTCTGCATGTTTGTCGTTTTCCCAGCTCCGTTTATTGCCGAGAGACGCCGTCCCCATTTTACAGTCTCGGCTCCTTTGTTATAAGTTAACTGCCATGTGTGTGCGGGTTGTTTCTGGGCTCTCTCTCGTGGTCCACTGGCCTGTGTACCTGTTTTTATACCAATACGATGCTGTTTTAGTTACTATAACTTTGTAACAGGGTTTGAAATCAGAGGGATGCCTCCAGCTTTGTTCTTTCACATCTTTAAAGTCAAGAAATAGGACAATGATCTGTTGGTACTTTTTATTCCACGTTTGCCTGCTTCGATGTCTACATTTTTATTACATCATATTCCTTAAGCTCCTTCCTCATTGTCTTGGAGAAATAAAAATATCATATTCTAGGTAGTGATATTTGCTGTCAAGAAAAATAAATTAATATGTTCTTTTCGCAGTTTTCCCCTTCGGGGCTCCGCATTTAGCTCAGCGTGATCCCACCGCGCACCAGCCAGGATTCTCTGGCTGACCTTGCGCTCAAGGGCGCGCGGCATTTACAAGGTCGCTCGCTGCTGTTGGCTCCCGGCCCCACCCGGCCCCTGGAGACCCTCCCTGGCAGCTCTCGGCTGCTTCCTCCGCTGCGTGGAAAACGGTTACGGGTCCGATCACTTTCAGTTTGGGGAACCTGTTACAGCCTCAGTTTAATATGTTGTTTTATGGTGTTTAATGTTGCTTAATGATCTTCCCCAAAACCAAAGCAATACAGTAAATAATCTTTATGTCATACTTGCTGCTTCTTGAAGTCACACGTCATTAGTTCAGGATTTCCCGCCCTAGGTTTTGTGACCTATTGATCAGCGTTTGGAACATCAGTGTGTGTTCAAAGAGGGCTGGGAGGGAGGAGTCCCTGATGAAGTAAGTTGGCTGGCTTGAGCACCCTCCAGGGACTGTCAGGATCAGCGACACGTTAAAAGTCTCTCGCTCTCTATCTATGAGTCTGTCTCAAAAAAAAAAAATACCTTGTAGGTTTTGAAAGGAGAAATTTAAAAATCTGTTAAAGTTTGCTTAATTCAGTGCTTCCCAAAGTCATTGGATCATGTAATTATTTTAAACCTGGCAGGTGGGGGAGGGTTGAGAACTTCTGTTAACGGGAAATAAATATTCCGAGGACCACAGTCTAGAAAGCGCTGCAGTAGGCACAAGCTCAAGGTTGTTTGCGTTTCCCACGAGGGTCTAAGTCACTTAAGTCACAGAAGCAGTGAAACCAAAATAATTAACTTATTTTTAAATAGGTTAGACAGCACACTAATGGAGTATGCTTTTATTTTTACTTTTAAGGTGATTAACTTTTAATGGTTCGGTGTGCTTCTGACTCGGACTCATTTATCTCGACAGCCTGCGTCACCGATGATTAACCCCACTCGATGGGTTTACTGGTTGGAAGTGAGGGTTTAGTCGGCTTTTCTTACGGGACACAGGTTTGAACTTTGCTCTTCTGGCCTTTTCCATTTCGGTTAGAAAAAATAACAAAGCATATGTATTGTTTTCTGATATTTATGGTCCATGCAACTCCCTAGTTTCTAAACCAGCCTTCTCCCCCGAAACTCAGAAAGCCTCGCAGCCGGTAGCCACCAGCAACGGTTCTGACAAATGTCTCCGGGAAAAAAGATGTAAGCTTCAGGTACTTGCCTCCTTGGAGACGTGCGGCTGATTAACGCTGTGCTGGGAGGTGACTTTCCAACTTCTGGCTCGTGACTTTGGAGATGCTGATGATTCCTTTTTCAAGCTCCCGAGGAGCTAATTAGGGGAGAGGCGTGTTCTCGGGAGAGGGTGGAGCTGCTCAGAGGTGGCTCGGTTCGCCCGAAACTCAGCTGCTGGAGCGAGGAGCTGTGCTGTTGGGGAGAATCTCCTGTTTTTGTGGGAAAACTGCCACCAGATGGACTGCCTCCTGACCTGTTCCTGGGCCCCCCCCCCC